TGCTCCTCTCCCCGACGCATCCCAAACAGCACACAGAACGCCTGGACCGGAGACAGCAAATCTCAAATAAAGCTGCACCGCTCTCTATCACCTTCATCAAACGCATGCCTGCACACATGACAAGAAGGGTCTCGTGTCCTGGAGCCAAACAGTGTATCAAAGTTAGAGATGGGGGGCAGGGACGTGAAAACCCAAGCAGCACTCCTGTCACAGACCCCAAAGGCTAAGGCATGTTAAACAGCACAGCAAGGACACCGACTTGGGAACAGTGCGGGGGTTTGTTTGCTTTTGCAAAGGCCTCTTGAATTTCCTCAAATGTGTCCTTCCGGTGGCACAGAGGTATAACACAATGAAGGGGATCTATCTGTGAGACCCTCACTTCTTGACCTTTCTCATAAAAAGCCTTCCAAAGTAAACACAAAGCTTGTATTCACCAGAGCCTGCCCACAGTGCCTGCACCATTGCAAGTACTCAATAAACGTCCCCTGAATAAACAAATGAACAAACTGCAAATTACAACACATGCTGAGCCGACTGGCAGCAGGTCATCGCAATCACAGGCGATTAAAACGAACATGAGAAATGACTCTCACGGCCAAAGTTGTCGACATTCATGCACAATCAGACACAGGGAATGCATATGCCTCTATCCAAGCTGCATGTTCAGACCGGCGCTGTCTCCCTCTGAAATGTTTAAAAGCAGGCACAATGAGACTGCAATAATGTTTCTGGCATGAGCAAAGGATGGTTTGATCGCATCCACAAGAGAATAGTTGGCTTACGATCAGAAAGAATTCAGGAAATGGTGGAAAATCTAGCCCGGCTTGATAGGGGACCACTGCAAAGGCTTTGAGTCGGGGCGCATCTATAAACAGGGCTGCAGTATTTCCCACTGATTCTGTAGTTGTCCAAGAAATGAGAATAATGGGAAACAGCAAGACACAGCGCCAGGGACTGAAAACCTTAACTTAATGCTTACAGGCTTACCGACCTGGATGACATTGATCTGGCCCTGTGCAAAATTGCTTTTATTGAATGGGGCATTGTCAAAGACTCTGCATACTGCTCAGAGAACTCTTTATAAAAACCACCAGAGGCAGTACTTTCCTCAGGCCTCGGTGCTGGCAAAAGCTTCCCTTTAATCTTAACATGGTCATCTTACAGACACTGGAGACCTTGTAACTGAATTTCCCTTTTTACTTTAGCTGCCAGGAGCTACCAGCTGAATGTTAAGTCCTGCTCTTCAGGGCTGTGACGGGTACCATACACACATTTCTACTCACTCACTAGATCCATTTTACCACTCGCCCTTCTTTTTCTTAGACACTAATGGCCCTTATCTTTATTTTTAACTTCATTTAATTTCATGACTATCCCTAAACTTCTGAGAATGTTTTTAAAAGAGCAAAAGAAATAAGTTACACTTTTTAAAGGTTCAAATAACCAGAATACTTCAAGTTGGGTGTTCTTATTTTGTTTCCCCCAAAACAACATGCACTCGCACATCTCTGTACCTTCACCTTCCCAACAAAACCCCTCTCCTCGCCGCTGCCTACCTAGTGACCTTAAACGCAAACTTCAGAACCAGTTCAGGAGTTACGTTCCCCAGGAGTCTGCTCTGACCCTGCAAGCCACTCCCTTGTTCTGTGCTCTCACGGTGCTTCGTTTGTCTCTCCGTCACGGAACTGCACTCACGCCAAGTCAAGGGCCTGCTGAATATGTGAATGGATCCTTTCCTTTGCCAGGACAGAAACATTAAAAGGTCTGGTTTTCTGCCTGTTTGTTTCAATCCAAGAGCAACAGCAGCAGCAGCTGGTGAGTGCATGGCTCTAGTTAACTGAAGAGCCGAGTTAACAGAACACGCTGATCCGACATGCAAGGCCAGTGGCTATGCTCTTCCTCTGCACCGTGAGGTGAAAACACCACCCCATCACAGCTCCCCAGACTCTGCACAAGCCAGTAACCCCGAGATGTAAGGTGTAAGGCATTCCTATGAGATGCACACAGCCCAATTCTTAAGAGTATAACCAGAAGTTAAATATAGAGCCACCTCTGTGATACAATCCATGTGCACAAAGAAGGAAGCCACAGCCCTATCACCTTGTCAGAAACATACCACGGCCTGACGTAGAAAAGGAGCCAGGAGATGCCGGAAGCCGAGTGGCGGGCACGCGTGGCTGAGGGAAACCGAGCACCGGCTGTGCTTCCGTCCTGCCCAGCGCCCTGAAACCCCGCAGCGCTTCCCCTGGGTAGGGGCGCATCCCCCACCGAACATGGGGCTCTAGGGCAAGCTGCCCACGGTGATGCACACACATGCATGCAGCTGACAAAGAACAGGTGTGTGGCCCGAGCTGGGCCTCTCAGCGCCCGCCTTCCCCGTCTAGGCAGGCAGCGGGCGGGGGTGGCAGGGAGGGGAGCATGAGCCCCCTCTCCCCTCAGTAGTGAACTGGGAAGATGTGGTCCCGGCAAGGCCGGCAGTGGTGGGGCCCCCCGCCCCCCAGCCTGGAACTGGAGGAAATGCACGCGAGACAGAGAAGCCAGCTCTCGGGGAGGCAGAGAGCGGTCCCAGCGGTGTCCCTGTCACCTGTCCTACTAGCAGTTTCCTTACAAGGCCATAAATGTCCCTTTTTGCCTAAGAACACAGCTTTTTATCAACAGCAGCCCAAAATTATTTCAGAACCACCAGCGTTTACATAAATCAGTGAATTATGGAACCAACACTATTTGACAGTAGAGGGATAGGTAAATAAATGACAGGATACCCTCTTGATGTAGTTATCTAGCAGCTATTTATTGCCAAGAGTGTTATGAGGTTAAAAAAACTACGTATTTTATATATGAATGTGTGTGTGTGTGTGTGTATCTATATAATCTACATGTATTCCCCCATTAAAGTTTTATTGAATATTTTTATGATGACAGTGAAGGAGAAAGGGGACAAACTATTTTAAACTAAATTTTAACAAAAACAAAAAAATGTGTTATCCCACAGGTTTTGTTACCCTAAAAAAACTGTGAGGGATACAAAAACTCACTGTGAAAACTGCACCTCCCTAAAAGGACCCTCTGACCAGTGTCACCCGTACCTCGTCCACAAAGGCACACTACCCAAACCCCACTCCTTTCCATCAGCTCCAGCGTCACCTCTCCTGGAAGGGTCCCCTGGCTACCGCACCCTGCAAGGATCTTTTGCACTGACTGCTACATTAATTAGCTCTGGGTCTCAAACTACTTTGCATTTTGTCATGTATAACATTTTCCAACTTCCTGAGAAAAATAAACTTTAAGACGCCATGCCGTGTGTTTCCATCAGCATCTAAACCGGGCATATTTAGTGTTCAATAATGAACGAGTACAGGGAACAGGTCTTTTAATAAGTTGCAATAAACTGGTAGTCTCTAACACTGCTGGAGGCAACATCAACTGGGCCAGCCTGTTAAGACAAATAATTTGGCAGCATTATTAACTAGTATCAAATATGTGTACCATCTAACCAGAGATCTCACTCCTCAGAATCTGTCTAGGGATTTCAAGAGAAAATGCCTTTATGACTGAAGATGTTTACTGCAGCATTATTTAAACAGCCAAAATGTCCAACAGAGAAGAAAAGTATTAAGTAAGCCTTGTGAAATCTATTCAATGAGGAGTATGTACCATTCACCATTACCAGTCTGGAGTCTATACAACATGAGGAGATGCCATGACAGAGGAGGTGACCTGGAGACAGGTCTGTGATAGAAGAAGTGACCTGGGGAGATGCCTGTGACAGAGGAAATGACCGGGGGAGATGCCCCATGTGATCGAAGACCACAGAAAGTGTTTAGCTTCTGATTAGATGGGGGGCCAGCTGCACCAGGACTGAAGGGTGATACTGGAAAACAGAGTTACTTGACCTGAGTGGTAGAATGGTAGGTGACCATCTCTTATTTTTCTAAATTTCCACTATTGCTCTCTGATGTTCATTCAAGTTTTTGTTAAACTATACAGACATTGTATTTCAATTCTTTCATCAGCATTACCAGCAAGATTTCAAACTGTGAATCTTCATGTCCCTGCCGACAGCAGCCACCAGAGAACCAACCTCTGATACCTGGGGACTCTCTTCTGAGCCCTCTGCTCCAGTGACTTTCCCTGCCTCAGATTCCTGTGCAGGTACCTCAATTAACCTGAGTGCCCACGCCCAGAGGGTCAGCGACCACGGGAACTCAGGCCCTGTCCCCCGACGGCACCGAGGCTTGCGTAAACCGACGTGACTCTGAGGATGCTGCATACTTAGGTTAAATACAAGAAACATTTTAAAAGATAGATGATTCTCTTCCTGTCACCTTCAGAGGAAATTCTTTAATGCTAACACCCAATGCTGAATAGAGGTGTCTTTAAAAAATAGCTCATATAGGGAAACATGGTATAATCTTTCTAGAGAACAATTCTGAGTATATCTCTAAAACAGTCTTAACATACTCATATTCTTTCACCTAGTAATTGTATCTCTTTCAGGGAAAAAAGTGGATAAATATCTGTGTATAAGGATATTAGCTACAGCATTTGTTATAAGACCAAAAAAGTATAATGACCTAAATGTCCTACAATAAGGGACTAGTTAAATAAATTGTAGCACATCAACATGATGAAATGTGCTTGCTTGCACCAAAAAAAAAGAAACATGTGTTTAAACAACACTGATAACATGGAAAAGCATCAAAAAGAGATCAAAGAATTAAAAAAATAGACACATAACCACATTTTCAGCTTGCTACCAATAATGCCAGGGGGTAGGGAATGGAGGTGTGAGGAGAAAGAGAATATAAAAGGACTAATATATCAACCAGTTAAGATGTCAACTGGTCATTTCTAAGGGATTAGATGAGTGAAGTATTTTCTTCTTCATATTTTTCAGATTTTCTCAGTTTTCTGCAATCACTCTCCCTAAAACCGGAAACAGCGCAACAGCCCCAGCCGATGGCCCTGCCGCTATTTCAGAGGGGAAGAGAGGTGCTCACGTGGATGGTGCAGTCTCCTTTGCTCTTCTCTCGGTGGGCTGCCTGCAAGTCCTTCTCTAGCCGCTCCTTCTCCTGCTGCAGGTCGCTCAGCTCCTGGGAGACCTTCTTAATGTCCCTGCGCAGCCTGTGGTTCTCCGTGCTCGTGGTGAGGTTTTCGGAGCGCAGCTCGGCCAACAGGGCTGCCTCTTCCGACAGAGCAGCTTCATGAGCTCCGGGCCCCTAGGAGAGGGGGAGGGGAGGGAGATGGCTAATTCTCATAGCTCACCAAACAAACCAAGAAACCTGTGCTCCTTCTCGCCTTGGGGTGAACCATTCAGGACTCAGAGCACAAATAATATAAAGATTTTGAAATAACTCAGGGTAATGTTTATGTTATGATGTTGGTGTTAAAGGGAAGGGGGGAAACTACAAATGTTTAAAATATTTGGGGGGAAGGGACCAGAGGGAAAAGAAGAAAATGTTAATAACTCTCTTTCATGTGGTGGGAATAAAGTTGACTTTTTTCCTTCACTTCTGTGCATTTGCAAGTGTTCTAAGGTTAGTAAGCTCATAACTTTTATAATAATTTTTTTAAAAAACAACTTATTTTAAAAAGGCAGAATGAACGGCTGCCTTGGAAAAGCAGAGTGGGATTCAGGCACTGGCAATGTTCATCTACGTTAGAAGGGCTCAAACCCAGAGTCACAGGGAGAAAACACGTGGTCAGCACGAAAGCCCAACGGCCACCTCAAGAGGCTATATATAAACTCTGTGCAGAGTCCAGGGGCTAAGTGCGTCAGGGACATTTTATTTCATTAGCACACAGTCACTAGAGGAATTGTGTGATTCTCAAGCATATGAAAAAATGTTTTAACTCACCAATAATCAAAAACAGCAAAATAAAACAAGCTTTCGTTTGACAAGTGTTTTTATGAGCATATCCAGTGCTGCAGAGCTTATTGTGAAGCGACGCCATTAACACTCCCTTTTCAAGAACTAACCGAGAATCCAGAAACCAGGAAATACGCTGGCAAGAATGTAAATTAACATAACTTTGATGGACAGTTTATATGTATCAAGTGTGCGTGTGTTATATAAACATATCCACACTCATCCCAATAATTCCATTCCCAGAATTCAATCTCAGGGGAAGAATCCAGAATATAGGAAGCAGGAAGCCTTATACACAATGCCACTCATCACAGGATTACTTAGAACACTGAAAAATAAGAAACAACCTAAATGTGCAAGAATATGAAAATGGGTATAATATGATATCAAGCTGCACAATGAAATCTTACAACTATATTTACAGAGTTGATCATACGAGAATATTTCTAAGTCACAATGTTATATGAAAAAATAAAAAACCAAATTGTAAATGATCTAAAAAATAAAATGCATGCATAGAGGAAAGTCTAGAGGGAAAATATCAAAATGTTAATAGTGGCTGGGTGATTTCCTGGTTTCCCTCTTTTTCCTTCTTTCAAATCTTCCAGCGGCAGCGGGGGAAGGGGAGAGTGGAACTGAGGCATACATATATAATACTTACAATCAGGAAAAAACAAACTTATTTTTTTAAAACTCTGTTCTTTGGTTTAGACTGAGGGTCACAATTAAAAATTCTAAAGCAAGGAACAACTGAGCTTTGAGGTCACAACTGAGACAGTGGAGTAAAGGGACTGCTCCAACTCCGTGGCCTTTCCAGGAAATCTGTCCTGCCGCCACCGACACAGGCGAGCCCTCTCTGCTCAGGAGAGGTGCGCTGCAACCTGTGAACCCAGGGCGCAGGGGCCCTGCCGTCTGGTCTCGTGTTTCCCCACCTGCTATTTAGGACACAACAACAGAGACCGAGGGAAAAAGCCACTCAAATTTCAGAGTAGGTTGTATAGACGCTTCTGGTTTGGTTTCCTTTAAAATTAAAATAAATAAAAAGCGGGAAACCTAGGTCACAAGCCCAAAAAAGAAAAAAATATCTGAGGAAGTGCTTATTTAAATAAACTGAAAAACATAAAAGAAAATAAACAATGATTGGGAAAATGCTCACCATGAACAACTTTCCTAGTTAGCTTTTATTAAATACTGATTATATACGTGGAGCCGAAACAAGCACTTTCGCACATTTAACCTCTCCGTCTCACACCAACCCTGCGAGGGACACACTACTGTCCCTATTTCAGTAACTGAGGCGCACGCAGCACTGCCAAATGGCCCGCTTGTCATCAGACCTTGAGTGATTAAGTCGGGAATTCAAAGGCCTCCAGAGCCTGCATTCTTTCCACTGCTTTGCCCGTTCCACCACAGATTCCAATTAACACCAATAAACCGCCAAGAATTAAAACAAGAACTGAATTCAAAGGTGGATGGCTAGAGACAGGAACACAGAAGCTTGTTCAACACAAAACAGCAATGGTTATTACTAAAATAACAATTACAAAGTGATGAAATTTCTTGGGATTATCATGCAAATTATGACAAAGCTTTAAAAATCTAAGCTCAAGTAATTCAAATTCATACATTTGACTTATGTCATAAACATTCTTTCCTATTAAATTTCCTTTAGGTGCCCTTTGGAAAACTTCTTCAGAGTTTTTTACCTTTTTCTGCAAGACACCCTGCTTTTTAAATCCCATCTCAACAGCTAGATGTCTCTAAACAGTGGCCAACATTTGGCCCAATTAGACATGGTCAGAAACTGAGGGCCAAACACCATGTTAAACAAATCCTTCTTCCCCACTGTGCAGAAACAAGAAATGTTTACTAAAGACAGAGTCCGAAAGCTCAGAGTTCAAAGACTAGCTCCAGCCGAGTGACATGAGTGAAGATAACTTCTCTGAAGTTCAGTTTTCCCATCTGTGAAAGTAACAATCCCTAATTCACATGGTTGTTGTGAAGATTAAGTGACACACAAAGCTCCGTGTCAGCGGGTGCAGGATAAATAAACCTAGTCCCTCTTTCCACCGCTTACTCCGCTATCTTTCACTCCCAACTGGAGATCACACAGAGAGTTTCCACAAACTAAAAGCTATGTGTATAATACCATTAGTATAGAAGTTGAAAAACAGACCAATACAACTACAATATTTTTATGCCAGAAGATATTCCATCCAACTTAAGGATGAGTGTACAACAGGTATTGAGTTACAACCCGTGCCCAGGCTTCACGATGCACAAGCAGGCTGGGAAAGCTCAAATATCTTGCCCAAGGTTACACGGTTCATGAAGAGCAAAGTCAGGATGCAAATCCATGTCCCCCACCACGTTCCTCCCAGTGAAAATAATATGGTACCTACATACAATGGACTGAAGGCAGCTGTTTAAAGGTTTTTTAAATAGCACACGCGCACACCCACGAGTGCCTGTCAACCTGCTGAAGTCCACTGTATGTGAGTCTACAATTATCTCGAATTTGCAATTATTAAAAAAAATGTTGGGCAGATCTATTTTCACTGCCATACCAAATATACTATATGGGAAAAAATTATAGATCAAAGTACATACTATAATGCTATTTAATTTTTCAAAGGTTTTATGTATGTATGTAGAAATACACATTAAAAGAGTCAAGGTGTTAATAGTGAACATCTTTAGATGTGAGATTTTTGATGACTTTTGTCAACCTTTTCCACTCCTTTAATTATTGCATAAATTCCTACAATGAACAGCTTTACACCACTTTTATAGCCAGGCAGGGAGAGGAGAAGAAATAATGCTGTTTCCAATTTGAACATATACTTTTTAACCGGATAAAAAAATGTATTTTTTAAATGGGTACAGCCAGCCCCCATGGTAACCTTCACAGAGTCACTCATGGGATTGGCATTCACTTCCCTGCACTATGACAACTGCTCCAAGAGCCTGAACATGACTTGATGTTGCTTTGGTGTCAGGCTACGAGCTTTGGCTTTTTACTCATGCTGCAGTTAGTTCAAATCATATGACATCACAAAAAGGTCCCATCAAGGGAGAGAAAATGCATTTTCAAGTATACCTTATAATGAAATGACCAGTGTAAGAATCCCGTGAGTGTTGACTCACACACAATTGGAGTAGGGGGAAGAACACGGGCTCGGAGTCAGCCTTAAGTTCAAGCCCTGATGAGCTGTCTAACGGGTCAACACGCCCCCTTCACGGGGGAGCATTAAATGGGCACTCTCAGAACAGCCAGCCAGGCAGGAGGAACCTGATCTCCACACGGCAAGACAAGAAACCCCGCCAACACTGTGCATGACAAAACCTCAGAGATCATGCTGAAAGTCGAGTAGATCTGAGGGATAGACATTTAATAAATGTATTTATAAATCCATAACATTTAAATGTATAAGACGACTTACTTTCCTTCAAGGCCCAACATAAGTAAAATATCACAATGCTTATAAGGGTATCCGGTCTCTCTGCTTGTGAATTGCCAATATATTTTTTTCCTCAAACAACGGGAAACATGAATGGTTTTCCTAAAAACTCAGCTTTTAAAGCTTGCCATTTACTAAGGAAGGAAAAAAGAAAAAAAACCACAGAGAAAAGGGTAATCTCAGCTCCATTTCATCAACCACTGTCCACACGGTGGGGAACGCAAGTGTGAGATTCCAAAGGCTGAGATCTGTTTATGTTTCTGGTGAACCAGATCTGAAATGGAATTTCCTCGATTCTTATTGTGAATCAAAACTCTGCCAAAGATAAGGCATGAGATATGAGTCTTATGAATCAAAGTCTCAAATCAGATTTAAATTTAACTTCTGCTTTATAACTAAAAACATAGGTGAAAGCATGGAAGGGAAGAGTTTAGGAGGCAGTATGGACTTCTTCAGGCAGTAGAGCTTTATTCACCAAGTTACTAGTAAAACGTACACGCCGTCCAGGGAAACTAGACTCCTGAGCACAAAGTGCTGAGATAATGAATAACACAGAATTAAAATTAGCAAGAGACAAGGAAGATCAAGAGGACGGCCGGCAGGAGCCCTTGCAGTACAGTATTAGAGGGAGAAACGACAAGGCAGGTCGCATCTCCAAGGCCTGGAACAGAAAGCTGGCAGAGCCGGCGGGACCGAAACAGCCGGGGAGGGGAGCTATGGGCTGACGGGTAAAAACACGGCTTGGGAGCAAACATGGCTCTAGGGTCAAACTCTATCGCCTGCCACTTTTGTGGCCCTGGGCAAGTTACCCGGATTTCCACAGCAGTACAAGGACATTAACAGTGACTACTTCACAGAGGTGTCGGGCAGATTCATTGAACTAATCCATGGACAGCATTCAGCCCAGGGACTGACACATAGTATGTACTTAATAAATGCCAACTATTATTAGCAATTATTACATTTAAATACTGGCCCTACCACTTGCTAGCTGTGTGACAGTGAGTAAAATAAGCAGCCTATCTTTGCTGAGCTTCAAAACCCCCCCCAACACACAGGGGATAAATATCTCCCCCACAGGACTGTACCCATGAAGTAAGATAATCCACCCATTTTGCATAGTCTCCTGCCTGCACAAAGCAAACTCAGCACTCCCAGCTCAGGGGTGGGTAGCTATCACCATTATAAATATTATATTATCATATTGACGAAGGGGCTGGAGAAGCACCCAAAGCTGGTAGAGAACCTCCTTTAGCTAGAGAGATAGTTGACCACTATTAAAGACCACTGCGTTCTCCTCAGTTCCTTCAGCTGCGAAGGCCCGGCCTCACCAGGAGTGACACTTCAGCCGAAGGGAAAACTCACCTGGGATCTCTGGACCTGGGTTTCCTGGCGGGCCTCTTGAGCTTTAGCAAAGGCAGCACTGAGCTCTTCAATTTCAGAGTGAAGTTCTTCAGCCTGGGTAAAAATAGAGACTAGCAACCAAGGATGCAACTGGGCTACTCTCTGCAAGGCCCAAACACTTTAACTGGGGAACGGTGCTTACAATCAAGGTCTTTGTAGTCAGGCATGAAAGAATCTCTTTGAGACTCATGCCCTCAACTATAAAATGAAGATACCACCACTCACCCAACCATAGCACTGCTCGGTTAAACGAGGTAATGTGTAGGGGTGCTAAAATAATGCCTGGTTCATGCTGTAACTATCAGTATTGTAATTGTTCATATAGAGGGCCCACCCACCAACCTAGCCTGGCTACTCCCATGTACCCCAGTCAGCCCACGGTCACACCCTGGACATTGCCGGCACCCAGAGCTGCCCCACCATGTGTTCAAGGTCTCTGACTTCGGCTGGGCCCAGAACTCCCAACCCAATATGAATTATAGCTACTATTATTATGACCCAGCTCTCTGCTGCATCTGATAGTCTTTCTGAGTTAGGTGGCTCTCACCTTGGCTACTGGCCTCCCTGCTTCTGCTCTCTCCCTCTTTTAACGCACTCTCTGGATCTAGGCACAGACCTGACACTAAAATGCAAATGTGGTTACACCTGTCCTGCTAAGAGTCTTCAGAGGAGTGGCATCTAAGCAGTAAACAGGAATAGTTCCCCCACCACCAGCTGGCCCCTTGCAATCTCTCTGGCTTCTTCTCTCACTTAAGTTCTGCACATGACACTATGACTGCCTCAAACTGCTTTTGGTTCCACAAAAACATACCGGGCTCTTATTCCACTGAATGCCTTGACCAGTGTTCTTCCCTCTGTGTCAGCTGGCCTCCTCTCCTCTGTCTCCTTTCCCAGCCAACTCCTACTCATCCTTTAAGATTCAACTCAGACACTTCCCCTCAAAGTACCACCCACTCCCTTCCCAAATACACACCCTAAACTGGAGGAGGTCCCCAGCCCCCTGCATATCCCTCGACCACAACAGTTTTACTGTCTTTCTTCCCCACCAGGCCTGTGAGCAGAATTGGGTTTTCTTCCCTATTTCTGGGCCACGCAGTTACTGAGACACAACAGATTGCTGTACCAATGATAAGAAAACAGCACAGAATCATTCAGCCACCACCTTGGATCCCGAAGACAACAACCCACATAATTATCTAATTACCTTGGCCTTACTCCCCAAAATTCCTTTACCTCAGTTTTCTGTTGTCTTTCAAAAGATTAGACCCACACTGCCCAGTATGGCAGCCACCAGCCCCCTGTAGCTACTGGGCACCTGGCATTGGTTAATCTGACTTGAGATGTGCTATTAGCATATCTGGACTTCAGATTTTTAAAACTGTTAAATACTTCATCGTTACTTTTGTTCTATTGATTAGATGTTGAAATGATAATATTTGTCATATATACTAGTAAAGTTCATTTTACTTGCTTTTTACTTCCTTTGATGTGGCTATAAGAAAAATTAAAATTCTATCTGTAACTCACATATTTGTATTCAACAGTGCTGGGTCAGACACACCAAAAGAACTTCTAATTGACTAAAGAACCCTTACCCTTCTTTCTACAGTCATCTCAGCTGTCTTACAAACTTTTTACTTAAAGCTAAAAATTCAGGGTAGGACAGGTCAGTCACAGAAGTTAATAAAGAAAAAAATCTCACTTGAGGTGTATCATACATACCTCTTTTTCCTTTGACTTTAATGCCATGGCTAGACCCTGAATGGCTTTATCCCTCTTTAAACTATTTTTCTTTTCTGTAGCAATTTCTCTTTCCTTCTCTCTCAGGTCCTCCTGAAGTGCCTAAATTACATTAGAAAAAGACCCACTAAGGTGATGTGTTCCAACCAAAACGCACTGCAAGTGTGGCTTTAAGAGCGTGCTTAGGCACAGCCCTTCCATCTACTCCTGCCAGCCAGTGGTTAATGTTTCCACATAGAGCTGAGCGTGGTGGCATCGGCTCCGAGGCACCTAGTTACTGCTCACGGCAACAGGGCTGGGTGAAAGGAAGGTGATCGGACCAGTTAAGACAATGACAGCTATTCTGACAGGAAGGACTCCAATGCCTTCTGGAGTTTGAATATAGTCACATCAGAGTCTTTGTCACCATACCAGGTTATTTGGGGGAAATAACAGATCATTAATTTCATTCCTTAATGCTACAAAAGCTAGCAGAGAATTTGGTTTGATGGAGACAGAACATACACATTCATAATGTGAGTTCATTTCTAAAGATAATCACTGCTGCCTCCCTCCCAGGCTGCCGTGAGGATCAAACAAGACAACGGACGTGCAAGTACTTTCTAAGCTGGCAGCTGCCATACAAATGCCAGCTGCTGGGACTAAGGGACCATGGAGCAATGGCTTTGGAATCAGACTGCAAGTCGGAATCCCTGCTGTATCTCCTCCAAGCTGCATGACCTTCGACAAGGGACCTCGCTGCTCTGAGCCTCACGTGCCACATCTGCAAGATGGGAATGCCCGCCTCACAGAGGTATTACAAAGACTGCGAAACCGCCTGCATGGTGCCTAGAGCTTGACTGGCAGACGGCAGCATTCAATGAGTGACAGCTAATGTCCCACAGAATTATCTCTTGCACTCGGAATAAAGCAAGAGCCAAGGAAAAATCTTCAACACATTTTTAAAAATTGCATCAACATACCTGGATCCTCTCTTCAAGGCGACTTCTTTCCGTCTGGCGCTCCATTTGTGCAGCCTATGAAAAGGCATTAATTGGTGCCCAGAAGGGACCCACAATCCAGTGGCTTCCCCAGAACAATTAGAATGAGCACCTCATTTACTTGCTGTTCCCCCTGCTGCCGAACTCATGAAAGCATGGGTGCACTCCTGTCCCACCCAAGTGAAGACAAATGTGAAGATGAGCAACCCACACTGGTTGATCACCAGCCCCACAGAGGGTAAACCACGGAGCTACTGGACAATGAGAAAGGACAGGGCCGAGGAAACGTGACACAGGCTCCAAAGGAGCAGGAGAGACGAAGGTTGATGACAGCCAGAAACTAAATGGTGAGGTTACAAGATTTGCTGCTGTGTCGGGGACAAAGGAGACCCTGCTCCATAAAGAAATCAAGACTTTTCACAAGCAACCAGAGCGTCTCCTCAGGAAAACATACCACACACAGCAGCCACCGTGGTCCAACAAGAAAGGGAAGGTCTGGACTAGACCTACATGCACGTCCAGGCCCTGCCCGCCCTCTTCCAAAGAGCTTGCCATGGAGGTCGCCTAGTGTGGGGAGGGGTCCAGGGAAGCTCTGGGGTCAGCACCAGTAACCTGCCTCTTGGAGCCGAGGAAAATATAACAGCTCCTCTGAGCAGAGCCTGTTTCGAGGGATCGCGATCTCTGCCTCACGGGGTGGCCAGGACTAAACAGGCCGCGTAGTGAATCCCTCTGTGCGCTGCCACCCAATGAAGTTTCTTAAGACCTCAAGCCTGCCTCTAACCAGAAAAGGTGAACCGGGTAAGTACCACAATGTTATCCTAAGAAAGCTCAAGGGATGAAAATAAAGTCTCTGGGCCACAACAAATTAGCACACAGTTAAAACAGAGGCGAGCAGGTATGGACTGATTCTTTAACCAACTCCACGGACACAAGGCTGGAGGGGAAAGAACATGGCAGGGCCCCTGGCAGAGGCAGTTTCTGCTCGCCCCTCAGCTGACAGGGCGATACAACACTGAGAAGTGACCACGGGGACTGAATGGGCATCGCATTTCCCTCTGAGTCTCGTCTGCTCATTAAAGTGTCCCCTCTGTGTCCTGTCGCCTCACCTCAGTCTCCCTCTCCTTCTCTTCCCTCAGAGCAGCAGAAGGTCCTCGGAGCTCTCCCGATGACATGTTCTCATCAGGAGACACCATCTGAGATTTCTCCTCTTTAAGGCACTGAATTAAAGCTTCTTTGCTCTTCAAAGACAGCTTCAACTCCTCAATCAGTCTAAAAGGGAACAAAATTTAAATATTAATTCTAAGCTGTTCTCTTAGCTCAGTGGAGCAGGAGGAGGTAGGAAATGGGGCCAGACATCTTCAAAGTAGACATGTCCAGTGACTGAACACAAACGAAATTGCATTTTGCAAATCAGGGATTAAGGGCCAGGATTCCTGTGACATTAACTGTCCCCTCACCTCCAGCCTGGCTTGGGTCGATCCAACCTCCCAGCTGCCAGACAACGGTCCGACTGAGCCACACCCCTGCTCAGAGGTCAACAGCCCCACGGCTGACAGCAGTGGAGCGCTAATTTTTTTGGCCGAGAAATCTTCTCTCCAAAAGAAATCTGGCACTGAAGGTTAAACTAACATGACCCATAAAGCAGAATTATTCTGGTAAATAATGTGGGGGGGGACATCTCTCCAAGGCTTCTAGGGTCAAAGGTTAAATAAAATGTGCTGTCTTCCAAGATAAAGGCCACGCTCCTCGGCAAGGCGGCCAAGCCCGAGCTTTCCGGGCCTGGACCAGGGCCAGCCCATCGCCACTCGGGAGCCCCACTCCCAGCCCCCTCCCAGGGCCAGGCTGCACTGTGCCCCGGGACCTTCATTCACAGGGTTCCCTGCACCCAGGATGCCCTTCACAACTCCACTCCCACCTCCGCCTGATAAACGCCCATAATCCTTAGTTAGGCTTAGGCTTAGTTAGGCGTTATTCTCCTCAGGGAGCCTTGCCAACTGACATCCCAGATGCCTCCTGAGGTAGAGCTGAACACATCCTTCTCCAGGCCACCAAATTACCTCTATCAATGGTTCCCTGACAACAGCCACATTATTTAAGCTCTCTAAGCCTGCATCTCCTCAGCTATAAAATGGGGATAACTTGCTTATGTGCAATGGAGATAAGCTATTTAAAACGGCCCTACCCAGCTCCAGGCATATGGCAGAACTCAACAAATGACAGTTGCTATAATTATTACTTTTCTTTTTAGCACTTGATGATTAGCATTTTGTCAAAGGACCGTAAGAAGAGTGTTTCTAGCTAAGCTTAAAAGACAACTTACTGTGGTAGAAAGAAGCTGGTCTCCAAGGGTGAAGGAGGGGAGACAGCTAAAAGCAGTTACAGCACCTGGCACCGCACTGGTGCATTGTCTGAACATGTGTGTCTCCCCAAAAGTGAAGGCATTAGGAGGCGGGCCTGTGGGAGATGATGAGGTCACGGGGCTGGAGCCCCCATGAATGGGAGTGGTGTCTCATCAGTGAAGCTCCAGAGACCCTCGGCCCTTCCGCCAGGCGGGGGTACAAGGAGAAAGAGGGCCTGAGAGGGCCCCTCACCCGACCACACTGGCATCCTGCTCGTCGACTCCCAGCTCCCCCGGACTGGAAGAAGTGTCTACTGTTTACAAATGACCCAGTGCGTGGCATTTTGCTGTGGCACCAAATGGACTAAGACAACTGAATACAGAGGGAACTGGCAGCACCAGCACAAGGCCCCCAAAACCAGGAAAGAGGAGTAAGGGTGCCCTCTAGGGGCTCAACACTGAAATCACCGGATAATCAACTACAGAGGTAGAAAGTCATCCAACTGTGCATGAAAACGGGTGTGTTGTATTGTGTGCAACTCACACCTCAACAGAACTGATGTGTTAGTGACCTTAGAGCGAGTCTCCTCGGGATGGAATGAGCGGACAGGCCTGCGGGGCTGTGGCCGAGCAGGAGCCCCAGGCCCCCCTAAGGGGCAGCAGCGCTCCAGCAGGACCATGGCCCAGTCCTCCCTCACCTCGCAGGCTTTCAGGAGCATCTGGAAATCCAGGCTCTTACACAAAATCATATTTTTTAAAAAATATTAGCAACTAGTTAAACTTCAAAAAAAATTCAGATAAAACATATCTGCTGGCCCGACTTGACCTGCAGGGCTCCTCACTGTCAGCTGCCTTAAAAGACACAGACGAACTTTAAGGTCCGATTGGGGGAAACCAAACGGCTAATGCATGGACCTTCAGAAAGGGTGGTGGGAGCCCAGAAACACATCCTTGTGAGGGCCCGGCCCAAAGCCCAGTCCAACTGTGTGGCAGACTGGAATCCACCTCACCAGGGCACGACGGAGGACCCTGATTCCGGTTCTGTGCTTAGCACCGACCTTCAGAGACTGATCTGGCTTCCTGGACAGGCCTGCCCTCAGGGAGGAAACACTCTCCACTCGTCCCAGGAGAGCTCCACCAGGGAGCCGCACCCCGGGCGGCGGAAGCCCCGTCTGGGCATCTGGCTGCTGCTGTGGTCTCTGGGATGTGGCTGGGGTACACCCCCACCCCTGCCTGGGTCAGACGCATTTGCAGTTCTGGCAAATCAGGTTTCTGTGCCTATCCAGCCAGCCCTCTGGGAAACCCCGGAAGACGAAGCCTTTAGCAAAGTCCTGACCAGACTACCCATGTCCACGGAGACCTCGCCGCTCGGACCAGTCAGTATGCAATACGCATTAACCCTTCCCAAATCCCCTTTTCCAAAAAGTTAAGAACCCAAGTTTCTGTCCTCTCCTCCGCAGTGACCTTGAAGTAAGCCGGGCTCCGCACCTTGGCCCATGCCGCCCGTCAGCAGCAAGGCCTCTCCCGACCCCCAGCACCCTCCTCTGACAAGCCTTCCCTGCCCCATGCCCACGCAGAGGGGGCCGCTCCCCTACTTTTGTCACAGCACAGAACGCTGAGCTTGGCTCCAGCACGAAATCTATTTTTATGTTGGTCCCCTCCCCACACACTTGGGAACGCCATACAAGGAAGAGAGGGCTCACCTCCGCATTCCGGGCACCCAACGCAACAGCCGTTGGGTTCATGAATGAATCCTTAGCTCCTCCACTTGAGGCCTTAATCCGCAAACCCAAGCACCTTCTGGGCTCTCCTCTTGGATGCCCACAAACCCCCAACCCAGCATGTCCCAACTGAAAGCTCATCTTCCCACGCCCTCTACCCAAAAACATCTTTCTCATTCCCCCCAAACTCAGCACACTCACTGCCGTGCCACCACGGCTCATCTGGGCGAGGGGGTATCGCTGCAGCCCTTTCCCTCGGTCACAAATCCAACCAGCCACCAAGCCCTTTGAGCCAACGTGTAATTCTACCTTCTACAATACAGGTCTCTCTTATCCCCTAGTTCTGTGGCCTCAATCCTGTCACCATCAAGATTAAGGGAAAAAGGAAGTCAAGATTGTGTTCCCTTTTTCCTTTGGCTTCCAGGAGGCTTAGAGCCAAAACCAAATGCTAAATTGAGTATCCGAGGAGATGAATTTCTATCTACTACCTCTATCTCTCTGTCCTCGCAGTCCTGGGTGTCTTACAGTGGGACCAGGGAGGAAAGGGAGGGGGAAGGAAGGGACAGTTCTTTCCCCGCGCGGCCAGACGATGACTGTCAGGGGTCACAGGGACAGGGCCACACCTGTCTTTCTCCTCCAGGCCCAGAGCCATGTCCACGTTCCCCTCGTGCATCCTCTTCATCTCCGAGAGCTTGTTTTCCAAGCTTAACCGCAGAGCCTTCTCCGCTGCTGTCCCTGCCAAGGCCTTTTTCAGTTCTGCTTGGGCAGCTTTCACATCCTAGAGTTAAATTAAATGCATGTGATGCAATTTTTCAATACAATTGGGAACACTTTGAAAGGAAATTGGATTAAAATATAAATATTTATGACTTTTTCTCTGGCACATTTCCCCTCCCTGAATTGTACTATACATGGGGAGAATCGGTAATAAATACATTTGCCAGCCGTCTTTCCTTCTTGTATCCTGAAGAGTAATAGGCATTTCCAATGGAAAAGACTCAACTCTATAAGAACTGTTTTGGTTTTGAAAAATCAGATCAATATTTACAGCTCAATGAGAACAAGGAGAAATGTGCCTCTCAATACCTAAACACACATAAATCTCAGAGTCGTCATAATCTCTACGCAAATTCATCCCACACCCTAGCGCCCCCTTACCAGCTTGTTGGGGTTTTTTTTAAAGATAATGACTACACAATTCTAAAGTACATTTTCTCTATCTCCAAAGTGATTGAGGTGGTGGAAAACTATGTTCTTCCAGAGTGCTCAGAGAAACCAACAAGGAAATTATCTAAATGACGCAGGCAGGGTCTGTGTGGGGAAAAGGTGCTCATGAAAGTGACCCGGGAGCAGCCAGGCATCTCCGACTACGCCTGCCAACTGCCTCTGATTACACCACAAAGAGAAAAGTCCAATCATACTGGGTTCAAAATCAGCCAGCACTTATTTTCTGTGTGACCTTGGGAGTCACTTAACCTCTCTGAGCCCGAGCTTCCCAATCTACACAACAGGGATAAAAACCATTGCGTCCAAGAATTGTTGGGAGACCTGTCAAAGGCCTGCTGCGTCACAGGAGACTCACACAAACGTGGCTTCCTCCCCATCCTTTCCCTCCAGTGCCTCCCCCAGCACTGTTTCCCCACGAGGCTCGCCTGCCAATCTCGGTGATAGCTGGGAAAAATCACCTCCCAATACTGCAAGACCAAACAACAAAACCTCTTATTTACTGAGAGCCTACTCAGAGCCAGGCTCTATTTTTAAATATTACGTTTGATTCTCACGCCACCCTAAAAAGTGGCATATTACCGCGGTTTAGAATGCAGGCTCTGCAGCAGACCTCTGGGCATTCACTGCCTGTGCCACCTGAAGCAAGTGACTCAGACCCTCTGTGCCGGCCTCTGTTTCTTTTCGTTGTTAAAGGAAGAGGAAAGCATTTACCTCCTAGGCTAGTTGAGGGGATTACCTAAGTTAATACATGCAAAACGCGGGGAAGGGCGCCCCACGCGTGGCAAGCCACTGATGAACTGTTGCAGCGCTGCTGCTATTACAGCTACGACAGCAAAGCGGGCAGCGCGAGCCTCAGGTTCCAGAGGAAGAGGCAGAGGCTCCAGGAAGGCAAGTGCTTTCTCCAAGGTGACAGAGCTAGTGACAGAGCAGGGACTCAACCTAGTACTGTCGGTTGTGTGGGCACCTTAAAACACTGGGCAGGGCTTACTGGAAAAAATAAGATGAATGAACAAGATTAGGTTAAGTGCCCTCAAAGGCTCACAATCACCTGAACTAAAATTCAGAACTTGGACTCGGAAACCCTCTCTGAGCCCATTTCTTCGTCCATCTGATCAAGGAAATAGCTACACACACCCGTGAGGCGGACACAGGGCTGAAGTCGACATCGTGACTGGAAAAGACCACTGCGAGCTGCACAATACAGCACAAATGCACCCACTCTTTGTAGTCAGAAGTGCTTTTTGGAGCTATTTCTCCTCATATCTGCTTAGAAGAATCAGGGCTGCAGATATGGAAAGTGAGATGAAACAACAGTCTCCAAAGACCAAGAATTAAGTAACTAGTTTACTCACCACTAGCTCTAAGTGGAGGAAACTTTGTTAATACCTGGGAGTCAGGCTTTTCTAACCAAGAAACACCCTGACTCGTCAGTCACAGGAAGCGCCTCACTGAGAACCAGGGTGAGGAGGTGCCCACACAGCGCCTCCCCAAGAGGCAGCCGGGATGGTGGCCCGGGCGCTGGACGCGGGGGACAGCCTGCATGGACGCACAGTGGCCCGCAAGTCAGGAAGTCTCGTTCCAGGCTTAGCTAATGAAGGACGAGCCACTTCCCCTCTCTGGGCCTCAGTTTCCTCTTCAGCGAAGGAAAGGCACTAACCGGGGCGACAGGAGGCCGGGGTCCACAAGCAGCAGTGGCCCATCTGAGTGCAGGAGGGGCTGGGATTGCTTGTGCTTCTCTCCGCGCCTCAGTGTCCCCACCTATAGGAACGAGACCATACCGGCCACTTCGCAGGGTGTAAGGGTATAGGTTCCGTACGTCCAGTGCCCAGAATGGGGCTGGAACCACCGAGATGCCCAGTGAGGGTGGCTGTCATGCCTGCGGGAATTCTGACAGTTTATGAGGGGAAAAAACACAATCCTGCCCACTCCGTTATTAAGCCACTGCAAGAAACACATTCTCCTCAGGGCTTCCAGACTTGCCTCTTCTAAAAGGAATATCCGTTTGGTGAGGAGGTCCTCGACCTGCTTCACCTTCTTCTGAGCATCCTCTTTCACCCGCCGAACTTCAGAGCCGCCCCCCTCAGCAAGGCTCTCAACTGCTTTGCTGCAAAGAGAGGCAAATACAGGTGACTGTCACGTGGTGATTTCAGGTGAAGCATTTTAACTACAGCCCCACTATGTGAGGTGTCAAGAAACAAGGAATACTCCTATAGACCCGTTATTTTAATTAATATTTGTTAACTCAAAAGACACTGATGATATAATATATAAATGTATCAAAGTAACATGTTGTACACCTTATACTTATACAATGTCATATGTCAATGATGTGTCAATAAAAACACATATTACTTAGCCCTGGCCAGGTAGATCAGTTGGTTAGAGCATCATCCCCATACACCAAAGTTGTGGGTTCGATCCCTGTTAAGGGCATATACAAGAAGCAACCAGTAAGCCCTGGCCAGTGTAGCTCAGTTGGTTAGAGCATCGTCCCCTGGCCAAAAAGCTGCAAGTCTGATTCCTGATCAGGGAACGTACCCAGGCTGCAGGTTCGATCCCAAGCTGGGGAGGCAACTGATCAATGTTTTTCTCGCATCAATGTCTCTCCTCTCCTTCCCCTTCCTGTCTCTCAAAAGTCAATCAACATATCCTCAGGTGAGGATTAAGGAAAAATGTTTAAAAAAATACATACTATTTTAAAAAAAAAGTAAGAATCGTTTGTAATCTTACCACTCAGGATGGCTAAGATAACATTTTAGCATACAGCCTTTGAAGCATATTCTACAAAAATAGAATCATACAGTATACATCCACGATCTGATTTTATCACTTAACACACTATAAACATCCTTCTTTGTCAATAAATATAAATTAATATTTAAAGGCTACGCATTAATTTGCTGTATAGAATGTACTGTATTAAATCAGCCCCTATTTTTAAAACATTTAGATTGTTTCTGATTTTACACATTTGTCCAATGATACCTACGAAGCTCTGGGAACAGTGGTCAATATAAAGTATCCAACAAATGTCAGTGTTATTGTTTATTATTATAAGCAATGTTATGATGAAAGCATCCCTGTATGTATATACTATCCAGTGATTTCCTGAGGGTCAATTCCTAGAAAGAGAATTACTGGGTCCAAGTGTAAATACTCTTTTAAGACTTTTTTGACAGTTATTGTCAAACTCCCCACCAGGAAACTTCCAACAAAGTACATGTCCATCAGTGGCAGGAAGGGTGGAAAGCCAGCCTGCCAAGCCCACACACAAGGAAACTGTATGAAACAAAAACGAATCTGAGGAATCGGAGGCGTGGATGCCTCATCCCCTGCCAGCTGCAGGGGAAGCACTGCACCTATGGCCCAGCGACGTGAGCACAGGCCACCACGTAGGGCACGAGGGGAGGCGGCCAGGCGAGCGGCCCACACTCCATGCTACTCGAACGCGCAATGCAGAGCGCCCGTCGCTGCGGCACCAGGGCGTCCTCTCTCCGCCTGGCAGGCAGTGGTGGCGATGGCCCGCCGAAATCAGACACAGGGTCACAACCACTGACGCCTCACACTTTGGTTCTCCCCACAAGAAAAACAGGATCGGATATGAATTTGTGAGACATACCCAGAGCAGGTCTCATCAGATTTCTGAAATGACTGTGGGTTTCCTGAAGGCAGAGAAACATAAAGGAAATGGCTCCACCTAAAGCTGGTTTCTCAGAAAAACAGAACAAATCTATTCACGACTAGCCACCCAAGCCCTCCTTGAGGGGTATGTAAGACTTTCCCAAGCAAGAGCCATGTGATCAGACAGGCACATGTACCGGCCACGTGAATCTGTGACTGGGAACAATGGAAAGTCAAGAGGGCCGTACTTGCTGCCCAAGCCTCAAATATGAACTGCCTGCAAATAAAGACTTTATTCATGTCTTGTTTCCTTTCACCAAGGAGCCTTCAGAAGGCCCTGGTGTCATGATATCATTTCAATGGAATTCAATGTGAACAACTGGAAAGATGGAACATGGGCTCTGAAGCTGAACGGATCTGCTTCCAAGTTTTTCTCTCATGTCCTCAGTGTGACTCTGGGTGAGTTACCTCTTACACCTCAGTGTCCTCGTTAGGAAAATGAGGTGATGACCTCTTAGAATGAATGTGCTAACACATGTGGTGGCCAGGGCATGGTGCTCCTTCCTCTCTGATCTGAGTGATGCCTGAGAGCCTGTTGTCCGTGAGGCCACCACAGTGCCTGCCCCTGCTGAGATGCCCTGAGCCGCCTCCTTCTACCTCCTGCTGGCGTCTGTGCTGAAAAAGGCTCATCTGCGGGCCAGAATTAAGGCATCATTGCCACGTCCACATTAATGCCATGAAACGTCCTGAGCCCACTCCCTCAGCTCATTTCTTGACCAATACTGTCTGGAGTTCACAATCATTTCTGTCACTTCTCAGAAGGGCATGCTATATATATCGCTGCAAGAAATCTGGACTAGAAGCCTTTCCTTCCTCAGCTTTGATACAGAATTTTCCAGTCCTGAATTTCCTTGAACCACCTTGAATGTTTGAGCCCTTGGGCTTTCTAGAGCCTCCTCAGGAAAATGGCTCTACCGCGCCCCTACCTTCCACGCCACCCAGTGAGTGCAAATACACTGGCTCCCTCCCATTCACCCAGAGCAAACCTTTGTGTTTTACAGTCAGCCTCACATGCATTGTCAAGGGGCCGACTACAATTTTTAGCAAGTACTGGCATTATTTAGTTTGTTTGCATTTTAGTTATACCAATAAAACATACTTCCGATAATAAATGTTCCAACTTTTCATTTATCATCTTTGTATTTTACAGTTACTGTAGCAATAAAATTTACACTCAGCAGTATGGTGCAATTTTCCTCTACTAATGGAATTATTATTTTTGTTTGTGTTTTAAAGCTACAAAAATAAAATTTACTCCCGACAATATGTCTGCTTTTGTTTTTAATGTCCCCTTATGGTAACTGAAAATAGAACAATGGAAAGTCAGTGAACATACAGGTTTACTTCGCAGCAAGGCTGAATGGGCTCCAGAGGCAGACCAGCCCCAGCTCTGGTATCAACTTGGAAAAGGTCCCCCACTCCCCTAAGCCACAGTTAACACTTCACTCAAATGGGAGTAGGGGCTGCCTCCCATAACTGCTGTGAAATCAAATGCGGTAAAGCATGTCAAGTCCCAGGCACAGGGTTAGAGGCCAAAAAGCTTCTCGATAAATGTTAGTTCCCTCCCTTTCTGTCCTTGTCAAGAATACAGGTCTTGAGACAGAGAGCAAGACCTAAGGAGAGGAAAGGCTGAGAGAACTTGGCCTAATCCAGCTTTCCACCAAGCCTAAAACGAACCTCTTTAACCACCCTCACTACTCTTCCTAACCATCAACATTTCCTCTTGATTCTTTCCATTCTAATTATAGTTCTTTGGGAAAAGCAGGGGCTTTAACCATATCTCCCTCCCGCCCGAAAGAGAAACAACCATAAAACTCAAAAAGGAAGTGGAGGGCATAAATAAAAAGAAAGGTTTCCATTAACAGGTACATAGCGCGCACACACACTGCTAGATGCCGGGCAGTTAGAGGGAGAGAGAAAGGCTCAGTGGTAGGTGGGGTGCAGGTCCTGCGGCAGGTAACGCACGCAAAGGCCCTGCGAAGCAGGAACAGTGGAGAAGCCAGGGCTCAGAGGCCAGAGCCTTGCCTACAGGCGGAGCCAGCCGGAGCCCCTGCCCTTCCCCCCGGCCCTGTGCTCCCCTTAGGAAGAGGCTCTTGGCTGAGAAGACGTATAGTCATGTTGAAGAAATGAGAAACACACGTGAAAATAAAAAAGGAATATGAAACCTCATGTTGGACCAGAGTCACAAACTTGAGTTCTAATCCCAGCTCTGATCTTGCTGGCTGAGTGGTTTCAGCCACGGCCCCTCCCTTCTCCAAACTAGATTCCCTCCTCCCTCAAATGAGGTTTTCCTCAAGGTCTGAAGAACTCTCAGATAATGATGGACTGCAAAGAGATATAAAAGTGTTTCATAAGCTGAAAAGTGCTGCACACGAATGGGACTGTCCTCATGTGCCAGAGTGAGAAAGACAGATGTGGGCCAGGGCAGCCTCGTGTGACCTGACAAGAGGCTTTCTTCAGCAGAGTGGACGACAGGAAAGGCGTGCGGGCTGAGGAGGGCTGCCGGGGCAAAGTCACAGCAGCGGGAACAGGGACGTGTCTAGCGTCTGTGAACTGTGTTTGAGAGACAAGGTTGGCGGGCAGAAAGCAGGAGCAGCTAAGACGCTGTGAACGTTCTTAAACAGGGCTCACGATTTCGACCCCTAACCTGCCCTTGTCAGCTCCTTCCCACCCACTACATGGCCCTGTTGATTCTGCTTCTGGAGTGTCTTTCCAGTCCGCCCATCCATCTCTGTCACTGGTCTGTCACCTGCACCACTGGACTAGCCTCCTAACCGGTCCCCCTGCTTCCACCCCGACTCCCCCTGCAAAACCCTTCCCACTCGGCATCCAGAGTGACCTCTTAGAGAACAAAACTCTGATTGTGTCAGTTGCTTAAAACCCATGACTACTTTCTCCTTGATCTTAGGATAAAAGCCAAAATCTCTATCAAGGCTTCCATACCCTGCAAGACAAGGCCGGACCCCCTAGACTTCTCCTGCTTCCTTGGTCACGCACATTCCTTTCCCCTTCAACACTTTTCACTAGCCTTTCACCTGGTTAATTCCTACCTACCCCCCAGATCTCACCGCAAATGCTACCTCCTCAGGGCCCCTTCCCTGCTACAGGCCTGTATTATACGTCTATTCCCACTGCTGCGAACGCTCACAGCCCCCTTTACTTTTCTCACAGCTCCTCTCGCACTCTGTATTGATATATTTACATAAAATATGTGATATACAGAAAATATTTCAATAATATATATTATTGATATGCTATGTAACAATAATGTATGTTAATTAATTATATGTATTATTGAAGTATTTTATCCTCATCCCGCCCGCTAGAATGTCAGCCCCACGCGTCGGTTTGGATCACCGCTGCATCCCCAGGAGCCGAGCCCTGTGCAGCACAGCGCAGCTGTTTAATAAATATTTTCTCAATAAACTGATAAATAAGATCAGACCAAAAGGGACCCAATACTAGTTTGGGCAGTTCAGAAGATCTACGCGGACAAACACACGCACAAGCCCCCAGAGCACTCAGGTACTGAGGAGGGCACACAGCCTTGGTGAGTCTGGGCTTCCATGTGCACATGCCTGACTAAAAGTAAGTGCTACTCAAGATCTGCAGCAGTAGAAAACAGACCGAATTCTACCATGACTTCCAGGCTCGGTAGAGCAGAGTTGACTCTCTGCCTAGAGAATGATGAATGATGTGCTTCAGCGGGGGTGGGGAGGAAGAAACTACAACAACAAAAACAAAAACTTGATATTCCCATTTATTCATTCATTCACTCACTCACTCAGAACATACCACGGGTGAAAGGTCAAGCGGGGCCTGGGAACTTGCCGTCTACTCAAAGCCAACAGTAGTCCCAGTCCCAGCTGCTGGGCCTGCGGCAATGAAAAGAACGCTGCGACCTGGCCCAGGGCAGCGCAGCTGCGCCCGGAGCTGAAGGCTCCATGCTCCTGCCCCACGTCCAGCAGGAACTCTACTGCCGTGACACAGGAAGCACTTCCACCCAAGCTTTCCACTGGATCCTTGGTGAGCCAGCCCTGGGAAGTTGGTATCCCCACTGTACCCACAAACTATCGCTGCACCTCCATGACTCTTGGTTCATAGGATGAGTTGTCACCGGTCTCTGATGAGCTCTTGAAGTAAGGGAATATCTCTTTTCAAAAACATATGTAACACGAGTAATTATGTACTAAATGTTTATGAATGAATGAATGAATGAATAACCAACTGAGTCACGGGTTATATTCTCTGAATTGTGCTTGTTGTTCAATAAATAATTAATTAAAGTAATAGTTTTCGAATGCTCTCTAAGCAAAACAGATAGAAAAGCGAGCTCCTCTCGCAGAAGCCCCATCTTCGGTGCCCCCCCACCCCCCGCCATGGTCTCACCTACCACAGAAATCTCTGAGGACCCCTTTACGCCCCTAGGGCTTGTACAGCAATGAGTGAGCTAATGATGTGCTTAAAAAATCTGGATGGATCTCACAGATATATCACTGAGGAAAGGGACGAGACACAAAAGGGCTCATGCACCGTATGTGATTTCATTTCTATCAAGTTCAAAAATGGGCAGAACTACGCAATGGTGATACTACTAGTCTGCAAAGTGGCCATCTGTGGGAGAAGGTAAGTTCTGGAAGCACAAGAGGGACTTCTTGGGGGCTGGTGATGTGCTGGTTTCTGATCAGGATGGTGGCCCCACAGGTGTCTCCGCTTAATGAAAATTCATCCTGCTATACGTGTAAGATCTATTCATTTTCCTATAAGCTTAAAGAGTTTGTTGAAAAATAATTACATAAAAACGAAACCTCCCTGGGGTCCTCCGAGCCCAGCTGGAGAACAAGCGGCTTAGGAAGCACAAGGCTCTATTTTACGGACCCACTTAACCACCACCATGAGAGCCCTGGGTGACCCCCAAGCTTGTGACAGGACGGCAGGTACTCACGAGGCTTTGATGAGCAGCTGCTCTCTCTCCTGGAGCTCACGCTTCAGACTTTCTACTTCCACCTTCAGCTCGATGTTCTTTCAGGCGAGATTAGGGAAGAAAAGAAACAGTGTAAAACCACAGACATACTGTGTCTACCATGGGGAAACAGCGTTCCGCGTGGACTGACTACGCCATGCTTGTAATAGGCTGCCGTCAGATTCAAAACCTCATTAGCCTCGGGGCACAGGGAAAAGGGAATTATTGAACACTGGTGGTCTCAAAAGAAAGCCCCAGATTTCTCAAGACTTGGAACAATTATGTAAATTTTCCAAGCTTCTAACAGCCAGAGCATTCAAACATCGAGGCATAAATGTCATACAAGAGAGGCCGATTTAAAAACTGTTTGCCCTCCACCAAGCAAATTTACAAGCAATTCTGCAGTTTGCTTTTACCATTGCCAGGCAATTACTTCTGGTTGTTTACCATCATACATGGGCTGGTTGCAGCAGTGGAAACGTACAGCTTAAAAAAAATAAAACATGTGGATGGATAAATGGGAGGCCTCATCACTGCTTGTCTCATTTCAATGGAAGATTTCAGGGTACTCACGAAAGAGCCACAATTGCATAGGACAAGCTGTCTATTAGGGACACCACAATGTTCTCCAACCAAACGTCTTTCTCTTAACTGTCTAGAAGGAAGGGAGTCGCACATGGCCTTGGGCTCATAATTCACATGCGAATCCAAAGACAGAGTCTGCAGCAAGAAGACTTCAACATGAGACAGTGGGACTGGCCAGCTTCTCAAACCAGTCCGAAAATGTATCCCAGGCAGAATATCAGATGAATTCATACAACAGAAATGGGTCTGGGTGAAAAGATTTCACAGAACTGCTGTAGTTCCAGGTTCTCTTTGAAATCTTGCTCCTATTTTAACAATTCATACCAATTTTACATTCTATTCCATAACACGAGAATCATTTTAAATAAAAATAACATTTCCAGTAAAATTGACAATCTCAGAGGACATGCCTCCCTCCTTTCAGCCAAGCAGCTCAGGGAGATTCCCAGGCTGAGAAGTCAGCCAGAAAGGAAAGGTCACACTTGGGACCAGAAGACATGGGTTCAAATTCTGCCTCCACTCTTCGCCAAATGGAAACCGCGGTAAGTTGGGCAAGAGACACTCATTTATTCATTCCCTCTCTACACAGACATGTACTGTCCCTGTGATGGGCCAAGCACTGAGGACACTGGTAAGCAAGGCAGACACAGGCCCTGCCTTCACGCGAACACTGAACAGAAAACTGAAAGCGTGAGCCTGCGCACTCCAGAAGCGCAAGTCTGGGAGGCGAGGAAGCAACACTTCTCCTTTCAGATCCCCCAAGTGGCACATGGAAACCGTAAAACCCTCCTGACACGGGGGATTTCAGGACTAACTGAGCTAACGAGTGAGAAGAGTCTAAAGATGAGGCTCGGATTATGTTATTTTCTTCAACGTCCAACAACAGGAACTAAAGAAGTTATTTATGCAGCAGAACTTTTTCTAGAAGAAAGTGATCTCTGCATAAAGGACACGGAGTGACAGTGCACAATGCCTTCAATAGCAGTTTTGTGAAAACTACAGAAACGCCCTTCAAACTAAGGATTCCTTTCCAGCTCTCAGAAGAGCAAAGAGCTACGTGAAGCTGCTTTCAGAGATTCTGAGTGCTTTGCTTTCTGACGAACCCACTGGCACTCCAGCCTGGCGAAGTTAACAGAACACAGAACTAACATGTCCACTAGACTGTTTTTCACAAGCGCAATTCCTCCAATTATAAACTTAAATACATAATAATCATAATTTCTAAACCAAAAATCAAGACACCTTATTAGCATAAGAAGGAATATCAGTATAAAAAATAAAGAAGCGTTAACCCGCTATTAAGGAAAGATATCCAAGATATTATTAAAGAAAATTGCAAGCTACAGAACAGAACGTGCTTGCATTTATATAAAAAGGGGGCTTATACACATATACATTCGCACACATACTTGCTTGTATACACATAAAACTTCTCTGCCTGAGGAACCAGTAATTTGATTAGACCTAGAGGACTAGGAGACCAGTGTATACCTTTCATGCTTTTTGAATTTTGAATAATGTACAACTATAGAAAAACATAAATTGCAATAAAATCTGGTCATCTAATCAGACAATGGAAAGGAAGAGGTGACATAGCGTGGCCCAATGAGGTAGGCAAATCTGGGTTCAAAACACACCTCACCGAGTAGCCAGGCCATCACGCAAGTTACTGATCTCCCCGAGCTTCAGTTTCCTCTCCTGTAAGTGAGGATAATCTCCACTGCAAAGGGCTGTCTTGAGAATTAAAATAAGGTGATGATGTACCAAGGCCCAGAACAGTGCCTGACACAGAGAAGGCAATTAACACGCTTTGGCTTCTTATCACCCTAGGAGTTCTGAGATAGATGATAACTATATTTACATATAAAATGTTCTAGGCTATTATCTCTTCTTTGAAAGTTTTATTTTATCACCACTTCCTTCCAGAAAAGGGACGTCCTCTTTGTCTTTCCATCCCCACGATGAAAGAAAAAAATTTGCGTCTTGAGGGACAAGGGAGCCTTTCAATTCTTGCAAAAGCTCAGAAGCACAGTACAGTACAAACCCTCTTCAAGACAAGTCCATTTAAGTTCATCCACTGAAACTCAAGCAGAGTTCTTTTTCCTCCTTCAAAAGTTTCCACTGGTACAAACTTCAGAAGAGAAAAAAATGGCATAATTCCCAGGCCAAGGGCTAACCTACTGGAGAAAGCCAAAAAATAGGCACTGAAATATTGTTTGTACTCATGTCTTTTCAAGAAAGCCAAGGTCTTTTTCCAACTTTCAGAACCAAGGTTTGTTTTCAGGCAGAGGCCCCCAGGCCAAGACTTCAGATGGAAACAGACTTTTTTCCTGACAGTTATGAGCAGGCACAGAAATCCTGACGTGGGGCTGCCAATGGAAGCCTCGATCAGACAATGGTGGCTGTCGGCCTGAGTGCACGCTGGGGCTTTTCAGCTGTCGTCTCATTTTAATCCACACTAACAACCCTACGACAGAGGGACTACCACTTACCTCTGGAGCACGCCCACGGAGCTGAAATGACTTGCCTGCAGTTACAGAAATTAGTGGGTAACAGTAAGATTAAATTCCAAAGACATTCTACCATTTCACTGTCTTTGTCTCGATTATAAATAATTTTTACAAGGCAACTGAGATATAGTCCATCAGAAGTCCAGTTTTAAGAAGAGGAAAAATTAATCTTGTATCTATTTGCTTAATATTAAGGTCATCCTATTATCTTTGTACTCCCCATAATCAACTCAAAATTAAATGAAAGCAGCTCTATCTATTCATGCTTACTCTGAAAGCAAATATTAATCAAATTTCTGCTTGGAGGACGATGAGAAAAGATGTCAGGGATGGTGGCAAGAAGTAGGACACTCACAGTTTTATAGATGTGCTCGGTGGGGCCATCAAATTCCTGTTGCATCCTTTCCTCAAGGAAATAGATGCGAAGCTTTAGGTTAAAATTTTCTTTCTTCAATTCAGTGATTTGCTGAAAAATAAGCACAGATAGATTATCAAAAGTAAAAGTCTAAGACATATTACCTACGTTAATTCTCATAGCTTCCAAGGCTACAAATGGATTCAAATGTTAAATAGTAGAGGAAGCTTATCTTTGCTACAATTGTACCAACCCAGAATTAAGGGGTTCCCTCTAACCAAATTTAGGACAATCTGGGCATTAGAATGCATAATGACTACGTGAAGATAGAATTCAAGACTCCACACTGACAGTAAGTAAAGGAAGAAAAGAAAAAAAAAAAGACAGGAGTCTCTTCTTTACAAAAGAAATCCAGTTAATAAATGTAGAATAATAGGAACAGAAACTCATCATTACACAACCACTACAGTAATGATCGACTCAGGTAAGAAACATCGATGCTAAAAAAATTAGATGAAAGATGACTGGACAACATGATATTCACACAGTCTTACGCTATCAACCCCTCAGATGGCTTATGAACTACAAAAGGAAAAGGTACATTTAAAACCTAGCAGACACCACATGAACCAAGAGCACATACAGTTGTCCCTCAGCACTCACAGGAGATGGCTTCCAGGAACCCCAAAGGAAACCAGAATCAGTAGATGCTGTAGCCCTTTATACAAAACGGTGTGGTATTCAAATATAACCTGTATTTTTAAAAATATTGTCTATGGAAATATATCCATGGTTGGTAAAGTCCAGATGCAAAAGACACAAATACAGAGGGTTGACTATATTTATTATCACCCTAGTGGGACAAACTGACGTCTCGTGCCTCCTGAAATAAATCACTGGAAGTAAACAATTTTACTTAAAATACTTCTGCCCACAACCTTTTACCTGAACCTAATCAAAAGTTGTCAATCAGACACATCCAAGTTGAAGGATGTGCTGCAAAACAACAGACCTGGACTCTTCAAAAATCTAACAACAATCTTAAATTAAAAATGACTGGGGAATTCTTCTAAATAAATGAAAGTACTAGAGACATGCCAACTGAGTGCAATGAAATAATACAGTGAATCTTGAACTTAAAAAAAATAAAAAAAGCTATGTGGGGATAACTAGCAAAATTTGAATAATGACTTTATATTAGATAATAGTATCATGGTACTGTAGCAGAACATCCTACCTAAGAGCTATATGTTGAAGTACTTAAGGGTGTTACCAAAATATCTGCAACTAACTCACTAATGAGTGGGGAGGAAGGATTCCACCAAAAAACTATTAGAACTAATAAATAAATTCAGTAAATTTGCAGGTTACAAAATTAGTATTTGGAAATCTGTTGTGTTTTTATACACAAATAATGAACTATAAGAAAGAGACGTGAAGAAAACAACCCCATTTACAATTGCATCAAAAAGAATAAAATACCTAGGAATAAATTTGACCCAGGAGGCAAAAGACTTGCACTCTGAAAATGGAGCAAAATACAAATAAAATATACCGTGCTCATGAATTACAAGAATTAATAAAGTAAAAATGTCCACACTACCTAAAGTAATCTAAATGATTTAATGAAATTCCTATCAAAATACCCGTGGCATTTTTCACAGAACTAGAACAAAGAATCCTAAAATTTATAGGGAACCACAAAAGACCCTGAATAGCCAAAATAATCTTAAGAAAGAAGAACAAAGTTGGAGGTATCATCCTCCCAGATTTGAAACTATACTATAAAGCTACAGTAATCAAAACATACGGTATCAGCACAAAAACAAGTACATAAATCAATGGACTAGAATAGATAGCCCAGAAATAAACCAATGCTTATATGGTCAATTAATCTACAACAAAGGAGGCAAGGTAAAATTATGTAACTTTTAGAAGAATATATAAGGAGACACCTTTGGAACCTAGGGTTCAGCAGAGTTCTTAGATACAGCACTGAAGGCATCATCCATTAAAAAAAAAAAAGTTTAATCAATAAACTGGGCTTCATCAAAATTTAAAACTTTTGCTCTCAAAAACAGTGGTACGAGAGTAAAAAGACAAGTTATACACTAGAAGAAATGTTTGCAAATCACATATCCAGCATAGAAACTGTAGCTAGAACACATAAATAACTCTCGAAATATAACTGTAAGAAAACAACACAGTTTAAAAAAAAAAAAAAAAGGAGGAAGGAGGGAGGGGGCAAGGGAAAGAGGTGGGGGGTAGGCAGAGACAAATGTATTTGAAAAAATAAATTTAAAAAATGTGAAAAGAAAAGGAGGCAAGATTTTAAAAGGAACTTCACAGCAAAAGATGCACAGATGATAAATAAGCACGAGAAAAGATTTTCAACAACTTTAGCCATTAGGAAATGCAAATTAAAACTACCATGCACCTAAGAGTAGCTTAAAAAATTTTAATTGATAATATCAAATGCTGATGAGCCTGTGGAGCAAATGGAATTCTCATGCTCTGCTGATGAGAATGCAAATGGCACAACCACTTTGGATAACAGTTTGGCAGTTTCTTACCCAAAAAACTATATTTATCACATGACTCAGTAATTCCACTCCTAGGTATTTACTCTAAAGAAATGAAAACCTATGTCCACACAAAAACCTGCATGCAAATGCTACTGCAGCTTCATTAACGATCACTAAAATATAAAAAGAACCCAAATGTCCTTCAACGGATGAAAGAATGAACAGTGTACATCCATACGATGGGACAGTCCTCAGCTACTGTGATACACACAACAACATGACTTTATTTCAAAGACATTACCCTGAGGAAAAGAAGCTAGCCTCAAAAGACTACATGCTGTATGATTCCATTTATGTGACATCTGGAAAAAGCAAAATTATAGGGACGAAGGACAGAGCACAGCTACCAGAGGTTTGGGGTAAAGAGAGGGTTTGACCACAAAGAGACAACACATGGGGATATTCTGGAAGCATGAAACTGTTCTATAATCTGATTGTGGCGATGGTCACATGGACCTGAACAGTATACACACATTTTAAAAAGTTATAACCACACGTGTGTGTGTGTGTGTGTGTGTGTGTGTGTGTGTGTGTGTACACACATATATCTCTTGATTATGACCAGGTTACTAAACAGTATACATCTGCCAAAAGTTATCCAACACTTAAAACTCATAAATTTCATTTTATGTAAATTATATCTCAATCAAGTTGAACTGAACATAACTAAAATGAAATATAGCAAAATATTAATAGTTCTATTTGAATACTAATACATCCATACACATATATACTCACTGGATTTTTTTTCAGCATTAAAAAGTAATTGGTCATAGCATATAATACTCTATTTACTAAACATACTTTTATGACTGGATAAAAAAATGATAAGCATACTCTACATTATGTTTTCCAACTGTCTGCCCTTGGCCCTCTTGTTAACAATTTTGTGGCTAACAAGAACAGCACAAAAACAATTGGGAGGTTCATTAAATCCTCCTTTTGAATGCTTTAAGGAAACAGCACATAAAACATTCATTCAAACAAAAACGTCTGCCCTGCCAGCTGCATCCTATAAAGAGAAATCTTATTCTGTTACTCAGCTACCAATAAAATATTTATGGACCTTGCTTAGAATGCCCACATTGTACACACTGCTAAAATTCTTCACAACACTTGAAAGAATATTTGTCCTATTTACAGGTAAAGGCATTTTCTTTAAAAATAAGAGAAAGGTAAATAAGCCTTGAGAAGGTCACTGAGAATGCCAGACAGGCCCACATGAAACACAGGCACTGTCCTCCCAACGATGCCCGTCTGGCTTCCTGCTTCCCTCTTCCAGGTTTTCTCTGACAACCCCACCAGGCTGGACTGGAAACCCTTCTAAATGTTTCCATGCACCCTCCACTTTCTTCAACATAGCAAATACCACATTGTACCAGCCAGTTATTGCCTTTCTACCCAACCATCTCTAACACATCGGGACCCAGGTCTTCTTGTGCATTCTAGTCTAAAGCATAAGTGAGTTACGAAACACCCAACGGCTAGTTGGGCGAACAAGCCCATGTAAGAATTTCCTGAAGGCCATGTGATACAAGGAGGCATCCGTCAGACAGATGTGGTTCCTATCGCTCCATTGCGGTTTTCTCCACCACTTAGACTAGGACTCCCCGCCGGGGCCACAAAACGCTGCCCGTCTGGCTCCCACCCGCCTTAGGTCCCATCGTGTACGTCCTCTCCCTTGCTCGCAGTGTCGCAGCCTCCCTGGCCTCCTTTCTGTCCTCAGATACGCCCAGCCCGTGTGTCTGCACAGCTCCTCTTGCAGCACCCGCCAGGTCGGCTCAGCCTCATCCTCTCTGTCTCAGCTCAAATGTCATCAACTCCGAGAGGCCCTTCCTAACTATCCCATCTAAAGGGGCCCGCATCTCTCCCAACTCCACCAAGTCACACTCCAACACGTAACTCGTACTTTCTTGCCAGAACTTTTTACAATCTGTATTCACCTTATTAACGGACACATTTGTTATTTATTATGTTTATTATATGAATATAATCCACTTCTTGAGGGCACAGACCTTACCAACTCATAGCCCTGTGGTTTTATTAGCATAGTACCTACAACATAGTAGACAATCAACATTTGTTAAATGAATGAATTAATAAATAAATACAATCCAGACTACCTTACTAGCTGTATGACTTTAGTCGAGTTGATTTTACTGTATGCCTCAGTTCCTTTATCTATAAAAATGGGATTATAATAATGCCTATTTCAGAGAGCTATTATAAGGATTAGAAGAAATTAATTTGAATGTTTAGTACTGTGTCTAGCCCAGCATAAGAACTTAAAACATACTAATATTCTTCTCATTTGTATTTCTCCCTTTAAGAAAGCAAGTTCAAATATTTTTAAAAACTTGAGCTGGAAAAACTGAAAACAATTTACCATACAGTAGGAACAAATACCTCAAACTAGAAAACCCGCCAGATAGGACGCAGAAACCTAACGCTCAGAGAAGTAAGCTAATGCAAGGGCTGTGCCTGCCACAGGCCGGCCTTCGGGACCCGCGCGTGACCGTGGCACTG